AATGAGGTATCCAGCCACAGTGTAAAGCTTTAAAATCCAAGGGAAGGAGCCAGTGAGCTGGGGCGAGGTTCTCACATGCATTTGGGCTATGTGATCTTGTTTCAGTCTTTTTGAATCCCATTTATTGTCTTTGGTGACTGCTGGCTGCTGTAGCTCACTTTTGTCATCACCATCTCGTTGTTTTTAGAACAGTAAAAGTGTTGTGTACGTGTAAATATGTGTCACAATAAAATTCCAGAGGAATAGACTATAAGCTGAATAGAATTAGAATAGACTTTGAATGGATTTAAAGAGTTTTATTAAACACTAAATGTAATTAATTCATTGATCCCCTTTAATACTTACAAGGAAAAGATCTGCTCATTCCCTCTAATGAAACTGTGCTGAGCTTAAACAATGCTTTAACAAGTCCATGTGGTTTCAAAATGCTGAGGATTCCCTTCCCTTTCAAAGAATATACATGGGACTGCTTGTATTTCAAATACTGGGGTTTTTTTCCTGACTTGTGCCCAGTGGGGGAGGTCCTTATAATAAGATTATGCCTTTTCTATTACTCTGACTCATTTTTGGGGTTGGTTCTTTCTGGTTGGCTTTGTTGGAGGTTTTTAATCTCATTTTTTCCCCAGCCATTGCATAGTTAGCAGTATTGCTGTTTCAAGAGTGCCAAAATTAAAACCCTGGTCCAGAAAAGATTGTATAAGGGAAAACAGGACTTACAAACAGCTGAAAAGGTTTAAATTGTCATACTTTACTTTGTCTTTTTTAGATTTACTTAGATCTTCTACAATCTGTGTGGGTCACATTTTCCTGCAGTTCTCTAATACTAAGGAGGCTAAGAATTATGGCTTATGAATTTTAATGAAAGTTGAAATCCTTATGTAATCATTTGCTGGGGCTTTAATTAAATAACCATATAGGAGGAGAACTGCATTTAGAGAGGCGAGGGCTGAAGATGCTAATTTTTAAATGGCTTTGTTCTACTTCAGTATGGATATCTCAGAAATCTGATGTAATCTAGAAAGTCCTTTATACCATTCCCTACTCCTCTGAAGGTATTGCTGCATTAGTGAACATAAGTTTTAAAACCACAAGCTGAGAAACCTGTGTTTATAGCAAAAACCTGAAGTTTAGAGCACAGTCCCCCACCCTAGACCTCCAAAAGGAGATGAGCCCTTTCGCTGCTCTTCTGTCTGTGGCTGGGATTTTGGTATTGGGGTCTTTTCCCAATTCTTTCCTGCTTCTTCTTGCACTGGCAGGGCTCACCCTCAGCTGGAATGGGGGAGTGTTTTCCCTGGAGAGCTGTCAGTCAGTTTTTAGGGTATCACCTACCAGCTGGTTTTAGCAAAGGCCACGGTTCTGTGCATTCCTGAACGTGCAAGGCTCGTTCTTGTTGCTAAAAGCTGCTTTCATCCGTGAGTATTAAAACTGCCAGAGATGGGTTTCCAGGACAGTTTCAGATGAAATGTAAAGTAGCTCCTTCTCTTCCAACAGAGACTGCATGCATATAAGCTGTGTGGGAGTTTGATTTCAGTTCTATCCCTCCTTTTCTGCTGCTGATACACGTAGCCTTAGTTGCCTGGTCAGTGAGAATAATAAATTTGATGCTCTGAGGCTGTTTATCATCACCGGACTAAATTGATTCCATAGAACTTTCAGAGGAGGTGGTGGGGTCTGGAGCAAACCCATCTGTTAGTGATAAACATAAATCCCCTTACTTCCAAATGCATTTTTATGTCAGTATCTCTGTTTGCATGCATGCACCAATTAAGCAGTATATTATTTTCTTTTTCCATGATTTCAGAAGGTTGACTCACTCAAGTGGATTTATGCACACGCTCTGTTTTCTCTGAGTGTAGTTGGATGGTTGTTTGGTTTGGGGTTTTTATTTCTGTGGAGGTTTTTTGTTTGGTTTTGGGCTTTGTTTTGCTTTTAATTCTGCTTTCTTCACTTTTCATTTCTATTCAGCTTGTGGAAATCATGATTTCTACCTCACAGAATAGTTCAGGCATTCTTTCCTCCTTTCCTGGGTATCATGCTCCATGACTTAGTGTTTGTCCATGAAAAGAAAATCAGGTTTAGAAGCTATTGAGCAGAGTGTGGCTTGTTGAGCTGAAGGGTGTCACACTGAGGCAATTGTCCCTGTGCAGAATGCTGGCCTGGCAGAGATTTTGTCATGACCTCTGGGGTGTTATTCTTTCTGTCTTCAAGCTTGAGGCCTTTTGGTTCAGTATTCTTCTAATTTCATTTCTCATTCCTTCACTCCTGTGTTAGTAGGGACCACCACATGCCAAGAACATTCTGGCATGAGATGAGCACGGCTTTTTAGATGACGAGGGAGAAATAGATTTTAAAGGCAAGTAAGATTTTATAACAGCAGTAGGAAAAGGTTGGTTTCATAGGTTGTGGGTTAGATATAACGCTTGAGAACAGCCTCAGTGTTTTAGCTGGGGACAGCCGCAGCCCGTGTCACTCAGGAGAACAGCCAGGCACAGGGACAGAACAGTGGTGTGGGTGGTGTTTCATGCTGGGGACAGCTGATCTGTCACAAAAATGCCAACGTGGCTAATTCCACCAAGGCATCCTTGTAGAGCAATTAAATTGAACGAGGGCTGTGTAAATTGCTATAAGGAGTTTGCTCATAAAATGGTGACATAATAAGGAAGGACTCTCTCTGTGTTGGTTCCAATGAATTTGGGACTTCTTCAATGATGGCTTTGTCTTCTGTGAGAGGAATGGAGCAAGGATGAGATGTTACAGCCTTTGGAGCCCCCAGGATTGCCCACACGTGTGGAGGGGCAGGATTAGAGGTGGGGAAACAAAAGATTCCTGCAGGCTGGGCAGGAGGAGCAGTGGTGCAGCAGGGCAGGAGTTGGCTGTGGGGATGAAAACTCCCTGTGGAGATGGGAAATACCAGGCAGGAATAAGGATCAGGATGGGCAAACTGTGCCTAGAGGTGAAGGAATGTTTAAAAGGACTTGATTTAGTGACAGGTAACCACCCTGGCTTTCCTGCACTGGGAGCATCCCTGCATATGGGAACAGTAATTCCAGGCCTGGCTGTGACTGCACCTCTCATTTTTGGTGGCAGTAAGAAAGAAACCTTTCACTTTTCAGTGAGCTATTGTGAGAAATTATATTTACTTTCAAAAAATTTAAAAAGGTTTATTAAAGCTTTATCAAAAATTACAACAGAATACCGAATAGAGAAAATAAACCAAATGCCATGAGCAAAGGATTTTCTCCACTATGTGCTCATCTACACAATGGATGTTCTGCTTTTTAACTCTTTGGCCTCTCTTAAAGTTTTGTCTATTGACTCTTTGCTGTCTAGTGGTGGAGATTACTTTCTGACATCTTGTTTGGAGGTCAGGTGTTGCTGTAGTAATGAGCTGACTTTCTTAAATGCCCCAGCTATCTCCTGAGAACAGTGTGAAGGGGGGGAACATAACTATAAATTTATAAAATTTCCCTTAGTACATACATAATATTTGTTCTTTAATTGTGAGAGCCAACTATTTCATTGCTCATTTATTACACCATGGGTTCAGTGAGGGCAGGAGCATGGAAAAACCTGGCAGGGGGATCTGATGCTTCCCTTGGGTTTGCAGCTGTGGTGTGTCTGTGGAGCCTGGAGAACCACAGTGGGCACAGCCAGGCTGGAACATTAATCCTTCTTTCTTCACTGTGAGGATTGCTTTTTGTGCTAATTCCACTGATATGAACCTGGAGGTAGAGATATCACCCTGAGAACTACCAGTGGTCAGACTCAAGCTAAATTAATTTTCTTTTAGCCAAATGAATTAACAAAGCAGGAGTTACTTGCTCCAAGGCACAGGGGCTAAGAAGTAAAACTCAAGAGGGTTTTTTGGTCCACAGAGGAAAGACAGAAGGAAGGTTCTGGCAGAGTTTCTTTGAAGCACATAACCTTTGGTAGGTACATCTCTTGGTAGTTTTTGCACACCAGTTATTTATTTAAAAAACATCAAAGGTGTGCTTCATGCAGTAATGGAGAACAAACAGGGAAACCCAGCAGAACCAGTGTTTCCACCATGGAAAATAGGAAAAAATGGCAGTAAAATGAGGGGGCCAGTCACAAGGCTGTATCAGGCAAAAAAATGTGACACTTCTGATTTTGAATGCCTATCTGCATGTGTGGTTTGTCTCCAGTCACAGAGGTAGATAGTTGTAAGTAATAACCTAAAAAGGAGCCCTTGGGAAAGAAAAGGATAAGCAGGATAAGTTAATGGAGAAGATGAAAAAAATTCTCATCATAGGAGACATATGTGGCTTTCCTGATTTTGCAAAGTAGTTTTAACCTCTTGTCCTGGGATGAGTGTTTTGAAAGCACGTTCTGCAGTAAGTGTGGGTTGTAAATCTCCTTGCCTACCTCTGAACTGGGAGAAGGCATTTCCTTTGGGAAAGAATGCTGGGAAAAATGAGCAAGAAAATGTTCATGGCTGTAAGTCAGTACATGTCACATTAACCCTCCTATCTTTCATTCACATATTTTTATATTTGAATTAAGCAATGCTTCTGTATGTAGGAGCAAACAATGCACAGAAGAAATCCCTGAGCAGATGTACAAAAACCCCCATAATTCAATGATGAAACAGCTTTAAAGCTGTTGCTAATTATCATGGCTGATATAAAATGTACATTGCTGATTAATCAAATATGCCCTGGTCTTGGTAATCTCGTTGCTGATGTATCAGCTTTCCTTTTGCCAGATCAGTATTAAACATTTGGCTGAAGCTGAATCTATGGCAGTGGGAATTTTATTGGCACAAGCAGAGCTGTGATGCCAGATGTATTTGGGTTCTGAATGCAAAGGTACAATGTTCCATGGCTTCATTGTGGAGCTAAAAGCTGTGTGAGATAAATCATAAAAGCAAACCTGCTTATTTCCAAGAAAAATGTGTAGTGGCTATAAAAGCATGAGTGTTTCAATTAAAACTAATGAGTGCAATTTATCACTTACCTCTGCTTTTCTTTGTTTTGCAGCTCATGGGGCATTCTGAATGGGATCACAAACGAGGACCCAGAGGCTCACAGGTCAGTTGCTCAGTATTTTGTGTTTGATTTTGGCTTTTGCTACATTTGAGGCATTCAAGCAAGTTTTCTGTCTGAGTTTGACAAAGTTGTTAATTTGGTTAATATTTGCAGGGTTTGCAGCAATGGAAAAAGGCATAAAACCATGACGGCTTTCATTAATATAATATTTGAGCTGTAATTCAAACAGTTGATCCAGACAGAGCTGAGTCATCCAACAGAAAGGTTTTTTCAGTAGCAGGAGGATGGATTAGATGTATGGAGAAAACATTTCTTGCTCAGCTCTCTCCATCAGGACATCAAAGCAATGCAATTTCAAACAGTGTGGGCATGTTTTGTTTGGTGGTTTGTTTTTTGGGTTTTTTTTTTTTTAACCTGAAAAGCTTGTCCAACTTAGGTGGCTCTCTCACCATGAATCCTTTCATTATTGACCCAGGTGTTAGAACTGTGTGGGGAGGTGCAGAGAAGCCACTGCTGTGCCTTGACCTGTCACTGGAAGGAAATTATGCCAGTAGTGTTAATGGGATCACAGTCCACTCCAAAATTACCTATACTAACTATCTCTTGTAATTACCTATTACAATTGCTGCAAACAAGAGATCATGACCAATATTGATGTTCAGGAATTTCCCTGCTGGGGTAAAATAGCTTTTCCCATCTCGTGTTGAAAGAACATAAATGCATTATTAGAGTTCCAGCCTTTTGTACTGGGTTTTAGTTCAGATGAAGGATTTTCAAAGGATGCTTGGTACAAATGACAGTCCAGAGGTGTCATAAAAGCATGAAAGGATCTATGGTAAGGTGGGAAAAGAAAACTGTAGAATCCTAGAACAGTTTTGGTTGGAGGGGACCTTGAAGATCACCCAGTTCCAACCCCTGCCATGGCAGGGACACCTTCCACTATCCCAGGATAAAGTGGATATCCTTATCCAACCTGGACAAGGATAAGTCCAGGTTGGACAAGGATATCCACTTTATCCTTGTGGATAGAGCCCTGTCCAGCCTGGCCTTGGGCACTGCCAGGGATCCAGGGGCAGCCACAGCTGCTCTGGGCACCCTGTGCCAGGGCCTGCCCACCCTCACAAAAATAATTTCTACCTAACATTTAATCTAAACTTACTCTCTGGCATTTTGAAGGCATTCCCCCTTGTTCTCTCACTACAGTTCCTGATGAAGAGTCCCAAAATGACCCAGCCTTTCTAATTACTGTGTGCTATCCTGTCTCCAGACACAAAAGCCAAGGAAGAAAAGTTTCATTAGAGAGAAGTAAATATGCCTCGGTTATTCCACTGTAGCTTCAGGTTCTCTCTTTCACATGACTCTGAAAATCTTCTAGATAGGAACAGCATTAAACCTAATTTAATTAAGTTCCTTGAAAGGTTAGGAGAAATTAAGGAAGTTCTGATTTTCGCAGAATAGAAAAATTTTTTTAAATCCTTTTGTGATTCACTTACATTGTTGCCAGTTTGTGTCCTTTAAAAAATGCACCTGTTGTAAAAAACAAGATCTTGCTGAAAAATTAAGGTGAGTGATGTTCTAAGTATACTTAAATACCTTAAAATCTAGGGAAAAAAAATGGAAGTGCAATCACTAGTTTACCATAATGTAGAACTAAAATCCACATATGAACTCCTGAAGTTATTCCATCAAGACTCATTTAAAAAGCTCTGATTCAGTGAAGGGGATTTTTTTTTTTTTAAGAGCTAGCAGGTTTTCTGTGGCATGTGTTGAAACATGAGGGGAAGCTACTCCAGTGCATGTCATCCTCCTTAATGGCCCACTTGGAAAACATGTTCCTTTTCTGCACGTAGGAGTGAAATGCAAAGTGCTGTACTTCCAGGTAGAGATGGATCTCAAATGAAATTCTCCGAGGCCCACGGGAATTTCTGTTTGCAGCAGTTTGTCTCGTGATAAGCATCTGCAATTCAACAGAATGTTAATGGCACGAGTGAAAAGGTGTCTTTACAATATTTAACTTGCTCCTGGCTTCTAGCATGACCGTCCCTGCAGTTCCCCTTTTGAGACTGCCCACATGTATGTGTATGTATGTTGTAGGGTTCCTTTTCTTTTAGAATAATTATACTATTAAAGCTGCTCTAATTAGATGGAATTATAGGTTGCCTTACAAAGAGCAGGGAGTTCCTGGCTACATACTTGTTCTTTTTTTTTTTTCCCCTTTCTTTTTTCATCCCTGAAGACAGCACTGCATGCTGTAAGTGCTTCGTGCTGGGAATTTATGGATTTGAAATGAAGCAGGAAGTGCAAAGTGAATTTCATTACATTTCATGCTTAATTTTAAAGATTAATACATGTTGGAATCAAGAATTTAGGCATGAAACTTCAAAATTGAGTTCCAAATTAAAGAAATTTCAACGTGCTTAGGAATATTTAATCCACCTAAAGAAATTTATCTCTATGCAATCTGTAGAACAACATCATGTGAGGGGAAAGTATCCATACACGTTAGTAATGTTGGCACGTGCCAAAGTGCGACTAGCAGAATTCATCCTTGGGGAAAAAATATGCAGATTGTCTTTTAGTTGTTCTGCTGGAACACGGTAGCTGGCAGTGCCGGGGTCTTTCAGGTGGGACACTCTGTGCACGCGTTCTGTGTGGGAGGCATTTGTTGCTCTGTCATCCAGACTTGTTTGGCTTGCTGGAGACGTAGGCGTAGCCCCAGAGCCAGTGAAATCCAGCAGCCCAGCTCTGTAGAAGCACGGTGATGGAGGGAGAAGCACGGGTCCAGCCTTTTTAATTCTCTTTAACCACGAAAGCTCTCGATTATACATCCGAGGTGCTGCGTTTTTACCCCCGCAGTTCCTAAGCAACAGCTATTTTCAGATTGAGCGCGTCTGGTGTTGTCTACCTACTCCAGGCTCCTTCCTGCGAGGTGGCTCGTGGCTGGAAGCCGAGCTGCTCTTGCTGTGCCTCTGCAAGGACGCAGATGCTTTAGAGGAAGGAGCAGCACAAGCTGGGCTCTGACCAGCCTCCACCTTGCAGCTCACAAAAACTCGCCTGCTTCGGGGAGCTCTGCCGCCTGCCATGAGGAGCAGGAGTCAGAACTAAGGTTCTCGCCGCTGGTTTGGGACAGAAGCCTTTTTTGTCGAGTCTGGCAAAGCCTCTAGAGCAGATTGAGGACGATGAGCCGGAAATCTCTGTACTTGCTGAAGCGCAGGTGGGAGTCGATTCCCGCCGGGGACCAGGTACTGTGCTCTGGGAATCTGTCGTGTCTCAGCGTGCCCTCAGTGCCACTGGAAAGAGAATTACAGTGACCTGGTGGGGCTCCAGGGGTTCTCTGAACACAGGGAGAGCCAGCTGCTCCTTATTTGTCCTTCCCAAGATGAGTGCTGGTAAAGCTGATTTTGCTTGTGGAGGTGGAGATGCCACGGGTGGCAGCCCACTGATGCAGAGGTATTTAACCAAAAAAAGTCTCCCTGTCTCACAAAGGAGACTTTTCTAAAGGCTTCCAGGAGAGTTTTAAACTGAGTATTAGAAGCTACGTTAAACCGAGTGGCTGAGGGGAATTGCAGCCTGCTGTTGATGGGTTGGTGCATGACTTTTTTGTGTTTTGTGTTTTACATATGTCTGTGTGTGTGTGTGAAGTCACTGAGGCACCGGCAGCACCTCAGCGTTTTCAGAGTCCTCCTGGTTGATGTGTCCTTCCAAGTGAGCTGACCAAGATGAGAGCAAAGCAGATGCAAACAGAACATATGTAAACATCTGCTGGGAAAAGCAAATACTGTCACCAGAAGCAGGAGTAAGATATGATGAATGGCAGTGTGATCAGTGTATTTCCTACTTCTTGCTCCAGGCACTTCAAGATTCTTTGATTTATTTTTTTTTTCAATGCTTAGCTTGGGATATACAGGTAATAAAAGAAATAATTACAGAAAAAATATTGGTGAGCTAACAGCTCAGCTCTCTTCTCAATCATAATTCCATCTCAGTTTTCCATTTATAAAACAGTTGACTATGAATGCTAGTCCTTATCTGTAGAAAAGAGACAGTTGTTTCACAGGAAGAAAAACAGAAATGCATCCCAGTTTTTGAGAAGCATCCTCCTGTGCATTTTTATTAAGAGGGAGAAGGGCAGGGAAGAGTACATACAATATTTTATGTTTAAAGATAAATCATTCCACTTGGAACTTTTAGAGATCTCAGACATATTAGCTGTCAAAAAAACCCCAAAAACCCATACTGTCACATTATAATTCACAATAAAACAATAAGGCAATGTTGATTAATACAGTTTTATTGTACTGAAAGGAATTTAATTGATCCAGATCAGTCCAGCATTCTTATATTCTCATAAATTTCTAGCATTTTTATATTCTCATAAATTTCCCAGGAAAAAAGGTATGAATTTATGCTCTGGTAGGAAGTGAATCACTTGATGTTGTTTCTGTTAAGAAGATGCAGAGACACTAAAGTTATTTCAAAGGAAAGCTGGTTTTCAGCCTTGCTTTTCCAGCATTTCCTTTGAATCACTCTAACCCTAATGTTGCATTGCATCATACATCCCATTGTAGCACAGTGTGTGGGAAAAATAAATATTTCTCACTTAGGCTTGGGGTGTGCTTGGCTGCACTGAGCTGGGCATCAGTTCCACCATCAGTCCCTCAAGCCCTCTGCAGGGTTTTAAAAGAGGAAAGGGAATTTCCCTGACCCATCTGCCACTCTGGGAGATTGAGACTCAGAAGGTGATGCTCGTAAATACAGTTTACTTGAGCACAGTGTGAGTCTGTGGGGGCTGGCTGAAGGAAAATGCAGTTACTGTGCAAGATGACAACCCCAAAGATGCAACTTCCTGAGTGCTTTAGGCTGATCTGTCCACAAATTATTGTACAAAAACATTATCTCTGCCTTTTGGTGCAAATCCATTCTTTAGCCCTTGAAGGGATGCAGTCTCTTACAGGGTTCTTACTCTGACCTTGACAAAATGACTTTATGCTGTGACAGGTAAGCAGTGCCATTGTAGGTTCCCTCTCTACTCAGAGTAAGAT